GGGGGGGGGAAGCTGACTGGCAATATGTAAATATAGGCTCGGTAAAATCGAAATCGTCAAAAATGTTCATAAACGTCCCATGAAAAACGTTTCAGTGCTGCTGCAAATATTTAGACCAACTAACAGCCAACATGTCAGCGTGAGTGCGAGCGAGAGAGCCAGAAAGAAAAACAGAGGGGCGGACAGTGGGCGTGGACGGGGGTGGCACAGTGCGAGAGAGAGAGGGAGAGGGGGGACAGTGACTAGAGGATATGCCAATGTTGGCAATGACCAGCGACAGTTTGCTGTCCGTTGAAAATCACAGCGTATAAATAATGAAAGTCGATTTGAGCTTTGAACAGTTATTGGCTTGTCGTGGCATGTGGGCGCGGCTGTGGGGCAAGTCCACAAAATGCGTCAACTTGAGCTCAGCGAATTAGTTGTTTGATTTACGTTTAATATAAGGCTTTAATGTGTCCTTTAGCTAGACTCGATGGCATTGAAGTCGTTCGTTTATTAACTTTGCTTTGGTTTTGCAATTTTCCTCAATTTCCACAAAATTGCATTTTCTCTTTGGCTTTACACTTCATCATATTCAACATATTCTCTGTTCACAAAATGAAAAGTGAAACGACTTAGGTGTTGAGATTTTTTGATATCTATCTTTATTTTTATCTTTACATGTCGCACAGAGTATTGCGCAGTCGGTCACAGTTGCTAACAAAGTATTTATTTGTTTTTCATCAATTTTGGCACATTTTCTCGACATAAGCCGCATTTTATGAGCCTAGGCTGTTATTTTGGCCACATGTAAAAATATATGTGGAATATGAATTTAATTAATATGCCATCTATAAGAATTCGTCTATCTAAATCGCTGTCATAATTGGCCATAAAACTTGACCAACAACTTTTCGCCTGATTAATTTTGGTTGGCCAACAACAACAACAACAGGAACAACAACAGCAGGAAGGAGGTACGCCTGCAGCTGTTTTAAAAATGCAGGCAGCACAAAAGTCTTGAACAAGGATCCAACAAGGGATGTGGGACAGGATACTGTGGCACTGTCAACACTTACAGCCAAAGTTGACATTCATTAGAGCAAAACTTGTACTTGGCAAGTACAACAACAACAACCAGCAGGAGATAGCAGCGGGTAGGGGTGAATGGGTGGCTAAATATTGTAACAGCTGAGACAAAAGCTGGCGGACAGCATCCTGTTGCAGCTCCTGCTGCATGTCCTGCTGCATCCTTTTGCCCCTGACAATAGCAACAGGCGCTGAATTAGCAGCCAGCCAAAGCGGAAGCTCTGCAGTCCTGTCTAGTGTTAGCTATGTGCCGCATTCCCTGCCCCCCCCCCTCTCCCCCCTCTGCCCATCCTCTTCATCTCCTTCCCTCATTGCTGCTTGCTTCTTGTTGATCCTGTGTCCACTTCTTTCGTCGTTTGCCTCATCAAAAACTCTTTGAAATGAGTTTTTATTAGTTTTGCTCGCTGCCGTTTTTTGCTGCTCCGTCCGTCACTCATTGTTGCTGCCTGCGCGCGCGTGTGTGTGTGTGTGTGCGCGTGTGTGCGTGTTAATTAAATTTCAAATGCACAAAAGATGCAATGACACAACCCCATCCCCCATTCCCCGCCATTCCACCCGCTTAACGCAGTAACTGAGCTGCGCGTTCGGAATTTATAAGATTTCTTTTCCATTTTTTTTCTTTTTTATTTCTGTTGCCATATCCATTTTCAGTCTCGTGGCTTTAATTGCATCTAAATGCCAAACATGTGTGTAAATGAAAATGTTTTTTCTATTTGTGCTGCACTTTAAAGCACTCGGGGCACACGTTGGGCGCCAAGAAAATGTCGGATGGGCGCGCCAAGTTTGGCAGCAAAATGTTTGTTGGCTTTGCTTTGTTATGGTTTTAATTAAGTTTTTAACTGGCGCCAGAGAGCCAACAAAAAATGCACCACAAAACTAAACACTAGACTGGTCTAAGGGGGCGGGCAGGGGCGGAGGGTAAAACAGCAGGAATCCTTGGCTGTAGACCGGACCGGCAGTAAACGGACAGAAAACGGCGTTATAATTTACATGAACGAATGAACGCCAGAGTTTTGCACACGGAGGCAGCTTTCGGTTTCGCTTGGCTGCTGTTCCAGCTTCTGCACCAGCTTTTGCTGCTGCTGCTGCTTCTGCTGCTGACGGCTAAATTGATTAATGTGCCTTCTAAATGGCGCCAGGCGGTTTAGCTAGAAGGCAAGTTGGTTTGCAGCTTGAGTAAAGAGGGGGGGAGGGAGCGATTGTTATGGCCTAGAAACTGTGCAACAACTGCAACAGTTCGAAAATTGTTGCGCCAAAGTGTCGAGTGCAGTTGTCTTTGAGATGTAACGCATATGCACAACGTTCAGCTGAGTGAAAGTGAGAGAGACTGTGAGAGAGAGACAGCGCGCGAGAAAGCCATTAGCCTGGCAAAATTCTTGATATCCTGCCTTTGTTAATAGGCTACAAAATAATTAACAGCTTTTGTGTCCGCATTGTAACAATTTTCGCATGGAAATGTGATTTGTAAGCCTCATAAATTTTGTCTCATCGCCTCGTTGAAAATTCATAATGCGAAAGTGAGTTGGGTTAATGTCTTGGTCGCACTGGATGGGTGGCTGAGGTGTGAGGGTTGCGGGTGCACAAAATAAACACAAAGAAGAGTAAAAACTGTGACACTTCACTGACGAGCAAATTCTCTATAGTTCAGAGCTTCATTACAGGTAAAGGCTGAGCATACTGAAACAGTCCAGATGCAAGGATTATGCATTTAAAGGAATTACAAAAGTAGATACAGTCGTCGCTCACTATGAAGTTATCAAGAGCTGATTCTAATTTGCAGATAATTGTGATTTCATAAAGGGCTTACTTAAATTCGATGTAATTATGGGTAAATAAGTTTTCTCAATGAGTTAGTGCTTATTGCTAATGCAGGTTCACATATGCGAGAGATTACTGTACCAATGTGAATAGAGTCTTAAGACATCTGCAAGTGAAGCTAAGCTAAGGACAGTTAATAAACAACAATACAATTAAGGTCTAGCGTATTAAAAAGTAAGATTAGAGCCGTTGTCTTTTTATTCCATAGTTCAAATCTTAAGTGCGTGTCACAAAAACAACTTTTCGATGGCTTTTGAAGTAGATTTTCTAAGTAATTTGTAAACCAAAGCAATGAATACATTTGAAAGTTTTACAACACTGTATAAGAGTGCCTTTAACGTAATTAAAAGTGAATTTACAGAAAGCAAATTGAAAATATCGCCAAACGAGCTTTCTCGATATGCCATCAAGGGCAACCAGAGTCGGTTTTGTGGCTGGCAAAATGATTGCAAATGCCCTTAAAAACCAACAATGAACCAACAAATTGGCAACTCTCAACCCGTTGACAGGCTTATCTGCTCTCTCATGCCGTATTCCTTTCGCCTTTCGCATCCTTGCCATTTCGTTTTGCTGCCATCCATAATTCATGCCAAGTGTTTGTGTATGCCACAACAACAACAACAATAACAACTGGGGCCAATGTCAGCTTAACAATATAATAGAAGCTGGCTGGCATTACAAGCTGGCAGCCACGCCCTCGAACCATAGAGCACCGCCCATGGCCACGCTTTATGCGATTTGAAATGGTTGGCAATAAATGTAAATTGTCGTAACGCGCTGTTACGTTTTTAGCTATTACGTAGCGACGTATACGCAATTTTTTTCGTAACGCAAAATTTTTGCAATTTGCAATTTTGTGCTTTAAATCAACAATCGTTGGCAAAGGGATTGGGGGGAGGGTTGGTCTGGGATCAGACAGAGTTTAAAAGCGTGACATTTGTTTGGTTTTCATTTCAATATCGCCGCATCAAAGGCTGCCATGGCAATGCAGCGCATCAGTTCTGACATTCTATTAGCCCCACAAAGAGCTGAAGTGATGCAACAAAAAATACAAAAAAAAAACGAAAAGGAAAAGGAAGGAAAGGCATTCGAAAAGTCCAAGGGGCCAAGGGGGAATCAAACAGTTGCAGCTGTCGGAATGGTAATGTTAAAATTGAAATATGGCACGAATTGCAGCGATGCACTAAGACCTAGACCAAACCCTAAACATTCTACCCGTAAGCAAATATACCGAACCCCCCGACACTCTCCTTTGTCCAACAACCGACAGACACACGACGTGCAACTATTTAATAAACATCAGGAGCCCCAGAGTCGGCATCCCAAGCTTTGCGGAAGCGAATGAGGCAGCTACAAATCGAGGCAACTTTGATGTTTCGCTCGAGTGCATTTAATAAGTCCACGCAAGTGAGGCGTTTGCGGAAGCAACCAGGGTAATGTGTGAGGTAGGGAGAGTCGGTGAGTCGGAGAGTGAAGGGCAAATAGAGATTGAGAGCAACTAAATGCTTGACAAGCAGCCAGGCATCTGTTTATATGAGGGCAAAGATGTTGCCCGAGGGGGTCAGCAGCTGTGCTCTGTTGTGACAAAAGTTCAACTCATTAGACTAAACGGCACTAATGAAAATGTGTTTCGGGACCTGAACACCCTAAAATATGAAATGTGTAAAAGCACATGCGTGGAAAATGGGTGAAAATGAAATTGTTCGTAACTTTCTTAGCAGGAATACGTTGGAATAATGAACAGGCAGGGGTCTCCGATAAAGGTACAAGCACTAAGCAGAAATAATGCTAACTCATGAATATACTTGAGCTTTGATCAAATAATACTAATATATATATTGGGACGTTGAAATATCCGAAAAAGTATCTTAGAAAGAAATTCATAGTACAAGAAAAGTAAATCCTATCACGCATAGCCTAATAATACGATCAGATACATATTTGAGTCGGTAGTTATGTAACTTATCTGGAATAATGTCTTATTAGGTTGCGGTCGACCCTTCTTTGAGGATTCTCGCTCGAAATTCCCGCCAACGATACACGAGATCTTTTTTGGCTTACCCTCCCTACCTAACTTCACTTTGTTTATGATCATTTTCGTTTTAAGCAAAAGATTTTTTGAAATTTTTCATAACTTGTTATAATTCACACACACACATCACAAAATTGAAATGCCAATTCCCAGTAATTGCTCCAAGCACATGCACACATACATGCACATTTGTATATGCCAACAGAGTCGAGACAGATCCCAAATCCTGCCAATTGTGGTTGCATTTAGCAACGCTTGGGGCAGGGACGTGGCTTTCGCTTGGGGCAGCATGGCTTCTTTCTCGGCTTGCAGCATCTCTTTGGCTTGCGCTTGCATGTGGGCCTTGGCTTACAGCACACCTTCGGCTTGCACCTGGGACGCGGGCAGGGCTTGGGGCAACAACGCCGCCTCGGTTTTGGTTTGCAGCAAGCCTCAAAGTTTTCAGGCTCGGCACATTCCACGCAACAAACGGCGCTGCAGCTGGCAACGGTGTCGTCAATCGTATACACTAACATGGGATGCTGTGGGGGCGTGGCCAATATTCGTTTCGATTAAGTTGGAAAATAGACTTTGTCCAAGGCATCGCCGTCCACTTACCGAATTGAAATTACACGCATCGATTTGGGCCAAGCCAGCGTCGAGTTTGCTGTCGCCGGGCGGCAATAGGGACTCCTCCGAAACGGTTTCCTCAGAGGAATATACACTCATTTCTCAAGAATTTCTCGTTCACACGTTGGTTTTGTTTTTATCAAAAAGTTACTAAAGATTTAAGAAAAGCATATAAAAAAAAGTTCGGAACTAAAAAACAAGTATATTCGTTTCGAAGTGTGGAAAGCAACTGAATAATTTCGTATTGCTCGCAATGAGCTACAAAATTGCCGCCTGCTGCGATCACATTTTCAACTTTTGAGTAATACCTGAGCTATTCTGTGCAAAGGTTTCATGGAACGTCAAAATGTCACGAAGGTTCCCAAACCCATCATTGTTTGGCCTCTTGATCAACTTGGCATCTAAATCTTGCAACATTATTTTAACCTAAGGTATCCTTAGGTATCCTTAGGTATCCTTAGGCGATTTTCAAAAAGTTTGGTTTTTTGTGCATGGTTTACCCTCTAGATTAATTTTGCATTTAAATCTGAACACAAATTTTTTGGTCGAAATTCATGTCAAAATCTTATCCCAAGATTCGTATATAGACATGGGTCAAAACTTCCCACCTCCATAACTCGGTCAAAATCCAAGCGATTTTCAAAAAGTTTGGTTTTTTGTGCATGGTTTACCCTCTAGATTAATTTTGCATTTAAATCTGAACACAAATTTTTTAGTCGAAATTCATGTCAAAATCTTATCCCAAGATTCGTATATAGACATGGGTCAAAATTTCCCACCTCCATAACTCGGTCAAAACCCAAGCGATTTTCAAAAAGTTTGTTTTTTTGTGCATGGTTTACCCTCTAGATCAATTTTGCATTTAAATCTGAACACAAATTTTTTGGTCGAAATTCATGTCAGAATCTTATCCACCTCCATAGTCGAAATTCATGTCAAAATCTTATCCCAAGATTCGTATATAGACATGGGTCAAAACTTCCCACCTCCATAACTCTGTCAAAATCCAAGCGATTTTCAAAAAGTTTGGTTTTTTGTGCATGGTTTACCCTCTAGATTAATTTTGCATTTAAATCTAAACACAAATTTTTTAGTCAAAATTCATGTCAAAATCTTATCCCAAGATTCGTATATAGACATGGGTCAAAACTTCCCACCTCCATAACTCGGTCAAAACCCAAGCGATTTTCAAAAAGTTTGGTTTTTTGTGCATGGTTTACCCTCTAGATCAATTTTGCATTTAAATCTGAACACAAATTTTTTGGTCGAAATTCATGTCAGAATCTTATCCACCTCCATAGTCGAAATTCATGTCAAAATCTTATCCCAAGATTCGTATATAGACATGGGTCAAAACTTCCCACCTCCATAACTCGGTCAAAATCCAAGCGATTTTCAAAAAGTTTGGTTTTTTGTGCATGGTTTACCCTCTAGATTAATTTTGCATTTAAATCTGAACACAAATTTTTTGGTCGAAATTCATGTCAAAATCTTATCCCAAGATTCGTATATAGACATGGGTCAAAACTTCCCACCTCCATAACTCGGTCAAAATCCAAGCGATTTTCAAAAAGTTTGGTTTTTTGTGCATGGTTTACCCTCTAGATTAATTTTGCATTTAAATCTGAACACAAATTTTTTAGTCGAAATTCATGTCAAAATCTTATCCCAAGATTCGTATATAGACATGGGTCAAAATTTCCCACCTCCATAACTCGGTCAAAACCCAAGCGATTTTCAAAAAGTTTGTTTTTTTGTGCATGGTTTACCCTCTAGATCAATTTTGCATTTAAATCTGAACACAAATTTTTTGGTCGAAATTCATGTCAGAATCTTATCCACCTCCATAGTCGAAATTCATGTCAAAATCTTATCCCAAGATTCGTATATAGACATGGGTCAAAACTTCCCACCTCCATAACTCTGTCAAAATCCAAGCGATTTTCAAAAAGTTTGGTTTTTTGTGCATGGTTTACCCTCTAGATTAATTTTGCATTTAAATCTAAACACAAATTTTTTAGTCAAAATTCATGTCAAAATCTTATCCCAAGATTCGTATATAGACATGGGTCAAAACTTCCCACCTCCATAACTCGGTCAAAACCCAAGCGATTTTCAAAAAGTTTGGTTTTTTGTGCATGGTTTACCCTCTAGATCAATTTTGCATTTAAATCTGAACACAAATTTTTTGGTCGAAATTCATGTCAGAATCTTATCCACCTCCATAGTCGAAATTCATGTCAAAATCTTATCCCAAGATTCGTATATAGACATGGGTCAAAACTTCCCACCTCCATAACTCGGTCAAAATCCAAGCGATTTTCAAAAAGTTTCGTTTTTTGTGCATGGTTTACCCTCTAGATTAATTTTGCATTTAAATCTAAACACAAATTTTTTGGTCGAAATTCATGTCAAAATCTTATCCCAAGATTCGTATATAGACATGGGTCAAAACTTCCCACCTCCATAACTCGGTCAAAATCCAAGCGATTTTCAAAAAGTTTGGTTTTTTGTGCATGGTTTACCCTCTAGATTAATTTTGCATTTAAATCTGAACACAAATTTTTTAGTCGAAATTCATGTCAAAATCTTATCCCAAGATTCGTATATAGACATGGGTCAAAACTTCCCACCTCCATAACTCGGTCAAAATCCAAGCGATTTTCAAAAAGTTTGGTTTTTTGTGCATGGTTTACCCTCTAGATTAATTTTGCATTTAAATCTGAACACAAATTTTTTGGTCGAAATTCATGTCAAAATCTTATCCCAAGATTCGTATATAGACATGGGTCAAAACTTCCCACCTCCATAACTCGGTCAAAATCCAAGCGATTTTCAAAAAGTTTGGTTTTTTGTGCATGGTTTACCCTCTAGATTAATTTTGCATTTAAATCTGAACACAAATTTTTTAGTCGAAATTCATGTCAAAATCTTATCCCAAGATTCGTATATAGACATGGGTCAAAACTTCCCACCTCCATAACTCTGTCAAAATCCAAGCGATTTTCAAAAAGTTTCGTTTTTTGTGCATGGTTTACCCTCTAGATTAATTTTGCATTTAAATCTAAACACAAATTTTTTGGTCGAAATTCATGTCAAAATCTTATCCCAAGATTCGTATATAGACATGGGTCAAAACTTCCCACCTCCATAACTCGGTCAAAATCCAAGCGATTTTCAAAAAGTTTGGTTTTTTGTGCATGGTTTACCCTCTAGATTAATTTTGCATTTAAATCTGAACACAAATTTTTTAGTCGAAATTCATGTCAAAATCTTATCCCAAGATTCGTATATAGACATGGGTCAAAACTTCCCACCTCCATAACTCGGTCAAAATCCAAGCGATTTTCAAAAAGTTTGGTTTTTTGTGCATGGTTTACCCTCTAGATTAATTTTGCATTTAAATCTGAACACAAATTTTTTAGTCGAAATTCATGTCAAAATCTTATCCCAAGATTCGTATATAGACATGGGTCAAAACTTCCCACCTCCATAACTCGGTCAAAATCCAAGCGATTTTCAAAAAGTTTGGTTTTTTGTGCATGGTTTACCCTCTAGATTAATTTTGCATTTAAATCTGAACACAAATTTTTTAGTCGAAATTCATGTCAAAATCTTATCCCAAGATTCGTATATAGACATGGGTCAAAACTTCCCACCTCCATAACTCGGTCAAAATCCAAGCGATTTTCAAAAAGTTTGGTTTTTTGTGCATGGTTTACCCTCTAGATTAATTTTGCATTTAAATCTGAACACAAATTTTTTAGTCGAAATTCATGTCAAAATCTTATCCCAAGATTCGTATATAGACATGGGTCAAAACTTCCCACCTCCATAACTCGGTCAAAATCCAAGCGATTTTCAAAAAGTTTCGTTTTTTGTGCATGGTTTACCCTCTAGATTAATTTTGCATTTAAATCTAAACACAAATTTTTTGGTCGAAATTCATGTCAAAATCTTATCCCAAGATTCGTATATAGACATGGGTCAAAACTTCCCACCTCCATAACTCGGTCAAAATCCAAGCGATTTTCAAAAAGTTTGGTTTTTTGTGCATGGTTTACCCTCTAGATTAATTTTGCATTTAAATCTGAACACAAATTTTTTGGTCGAAATTCATGTCAAAATCTTATCCCAAGATTCGTATATAGACATGGGTCAAAACTTCCCACCTCCATAACTCGGTAAAAATCCAAGCGATTTTCAAAAAGTTTGGTTTTTTGTGCATGGTTTACCCTCTAGATTAATTTTGCATTTAAATCTGAACACAAATTTTTTAGTCGAAATTCATGTCAAAATCTTATCCCAAGATTCGTATATAGACATGGGTCAAAACTTCCCACCTCCATAACTCTGTCAAAATCCAAGCGATTTTCAAAAAGTTTCGTTTTTTGTGCATGGTTTACCCTCTAGATTAATTTTGCATTTAAATCTAAACACAAATTTTTTGGTCGAAATTCATGTCAAAATCTTATCCCAAGATTCGTATATAGACATGGGTCAAAACTTCCCACCTCCATAACTCGGTCAAAATCCAAGCGATTTTCAAAAAGTTTGGTTTTTTGTGCATGGTTTACCCTCTAGATTAATTTTGCATTTAAATCTGAACACAAATTTTTTAGTCGAAATTCATGTCAAAATCTTATCCCAAGATTCGTATATAGACATGGGTCAAAACTTCCCACCTCCATAACTCGGTCAAAATCCAAGCGATTTTCAAAAAGTTTGGTTTTTTGTGCATGGTTTACCCTCTAGATTAATTTTGCATTTAAATCTGAACACAAATTTTTTAGTCGAAATTCATGTCAAAATCTTATCCCAAGATTCGTATATAGACATGGGTCAAAACTTCCCACCTCCATAACTCGGTCAAAATCCAAGCGATTTTCAAAAAGTTTGGTTTTTTGTGCATGGTTTACCCTCTAGATTAATTTTGCATTTAAATCTGAACACAAATTTTTTAGTCGAAATTCATGTCAAAATCTTATCCCAAGATTCGTATATAGACATGGGTCAAAACTTCCCACCTCCATAACTCGGTCAAAATCCAAGCGATTTTCAAAAAGTTTGGTTTTTTGTGCATGGTTTACCCTCTAGATTAATTTTGCATTTAAATCTGAACACAAATTTTTTAGTCGAAATTCATGTCAAAATCTTATCCCAAGATTCGTATATAGACATGGGTCAAAACTTCCCACCTCCATAACTCGGTCAAAAT